TGATCAGGGGACAGGGAGCAGGGGGGGGGTTGGCTGGGTTGGGGTTTCTGGGGGGCCAGTTGGAGGGAGTGGATGGGGGCAAGGGGGGGCTACCCTCCCTCCCCGTGGAGTGTCCTATTTTTTGAATGTTAAAACATGGATCCCTACTCACAGTGCAGCTCTCCATTCAAAGCAGGCTGCAGCATGAGGTCTCAGCTTCCTCACTCCCTCCCCCTCTTTCCTGTTGGTAGTGGCCAAGGGAATGCTGGGAAATGTAGTTCTTTCCCTGCTCCAGGGCTGGCTCTATAGGCAGGGAGCTAACCAAGGAACTACAGCTCCCAGGGCCCCCTGTTGGTTCTCAGCTCCCATGCTGGATCCCTGCTGCCCCTGCAAATGGGCTGCCCCAAGTATGTGCTTGCTTTGCTGGTGCTTAGAGCCGCCCCTGAGGAGAACGGGTTGGAAATCAGATGAATGCTCTGTTTCATATAGATGCTGTTGAGTACATGCTCCTGTCATGGCTATGTGTGTCAAGCAGAGCAGAGAGCGCTGGTGATTGGGGAGCAAAGAGCATCCTAGTATTTAGTAGCTCTCCTGTGTTGCCAGCAGTGTCAGTGGATGAAGAAGGGAAGAGATAGGCAAGAGTGCAGGGGAAAAGCAACATGGGATGCCAAATACAAATACTGTGTAATCTCAGTCCAACACTGATCAAATCTCTCTTCAGCAGCTGCTGAACTTGGCTACTCTGCTTTGAGGGGCCTGAGGGAGAGCTGCTGCATCTGCCAGGTCTTTGGAAGCACTAAGGGTAGTAGGCACAAGGCAGGGGTGTTGGCACGAAACACTGGAAGCCAAAACAGTCCCTGTTCTGCTGCAGCTGGTCAGAGCCAACATAGGGACCCCATAATCCTTATCTAGAACCCCCCTGGTAACTAGAGATTCCCTTAACTCCACAGTTTTCTGAGTTCCCAGCACTAAGGATCATGAGACTTTTACTGAGTCATTGAGTGACTGCAGCAAGTTAGGGTGTGTTTCTCAGCCTGTGTGCGGGAGGTGTGCCTCCTGCCACATAAGAGAGCTTTGCGAGATTGGGGGAGTCATTGGCTAATCTGGTGGCCCTTCCAAAGGCCACTGCAAATGGTCTACACTAGAGCAGGAGGAGGAGGGAAGGGAGTTGGAGACCCTGTGTGTGGAGGCTATACTTGAGAGGCCAGTGTTTTAGAGGAGGAGAAGGAATGGTTGTGTGAATAGCAACACATGACCACAAATTGTTCAGGTGCCTGTTCTGATGTTCATATTTGTGCATGGAACTTAAACTTGATTATGGATAGACTTGTGTTTCTCTTTAACTCTTAGCTCAGCCCTAAGTGAACATTTGTACCGTAATATGGCATTACAGCTTACTCCCTTGGGTGACACTACACAAACAAATCCAGAGCGTGATATAAAATGCTAAGTCTGCCATCTCCCAGGAATGTAGCAGACACACTTAAAGGAGACAAATCACAACATCCACATGAGCACAACCTGCATTCTGAAACTCTTTCAAGATCATATATTGAGCTACTATTTTTAAGAGTATCTCTCTGATATTTATTTTACATTGCTTAGATTTGTGTGGACTTAATTTTCAGAATACCCACAGTTCCATAGACTGTAGCTTTGAAAATCAGAAACCATATCTTTAATCCCTGCTGATATTTTTCTAAAGAAGTTAGTCTGTTTAATTTTCTAACAAAATGTAAGTTAACAGAGGCTAATTGTTATCTAACTATAGGAAGAATGAAACCTTTGGTTTGGGTGGAGTAGTAAATGTACATTGTTTACAGTTTTCTTCCTCTTCCTGTGAATTAACTACCCCCTACCCTTTCTTTTGACTTTGATAGGTTTTGTGGGTGCTCAGGCCTTTGTAAGCTATATTGTCACCTAACAGAGTAAAACCTTGCTAATTTGCCCTAATGACTACTACTACATTCATCACAGCAGATTGTTTAATTTTCTGAATCAGGAACTAAGTAAACAAATTTGATTTTAGATAAAAATCGAGGACACTGTCTGATAAAGTACTTTGTTAATTTATTCTGGCAGGTGTCATTAATTATTGATGGTAATATTTAATAGTATACTAGTAAGCATTCTGTAGTATAAGTTGTAAAAGTCTTGGTAATAGGGCACCTTCCTACTGCGTGCTGCTAATAAATGGTTTCTTGGTTAGAATTCTCTGGTTTGTAGATCAGTGAAGTGAGAATTTGTGAGGTTCTGTGGTACTGTACTTGTTTATGTAGTTTAAATGTTCATTAATGGACTGGTTAAAGGCTAGTTGCAATTTAATTTTAGCTTTACAGTTGAACTTCCATAATCCACATTTATGGTGAAAGCCGATAAGAACTACTGACAATGAAGTCCTTTTTCTGACCTCTGATCAAAAGATCAAATTTGGGATATTTTTCTGTATTTAGTGTTGAAATTAACAAATTTAAAACTGTCCAGTGAGGCACCTGTTACCAGTGTTTGCATTGTATAGGTAGTAAAGAAATAATTTTCTTTCACTGCATTTAATGCCTCTGTTTCTGCCACTGTTCTTAGACTCTCAACATTGGTCATACAAGGCAGAATGATCTACCTAATCAAAGATCTTATATTGCACATAGCAATGTGTTTGATCCATGTATTTATTTTGATTATCCTTCCAGTTTTGCATATTTACTATATCATGCCACTTCACTGCAAGTTATTTTTTCCTTGCAACTGGTTGTGTATCCTAGTCAGAGTTTCTTGGCCAGATTTTCAGAGAGCAAAAGCCTAATTTATTTGTTGTAGATGTGCCAGATATGGCAATTTCCTCCAATGACCTTGAAAGACTTATGATATTGAGTTTATGTAATATTGTGGACCCGGATTGTATGTACCTACTTTGTGGGGTATATGGGACAAAGATTGCAACCCTTTGGGGTCCATTATTTTAAATGAATGGTTTATCTATGATTGTGTTCTTCTGCATGGGGGAGGGCTACCCCAACTCCTACAGGAACTGAAACAAGTGGGT